AGGTCGGATCAAATCGAGTCAGATATAGAATGAATCGAATTGAACAGAGTCCAAATCAACATTTTTCTATTCGATTCGGCCTTTGGTATACGGAGACGTCCATTGTGTCTATTATGTTCATTACAGTCACTATATCCACTATGCTGTTATGCCCATTATGTCCTTGGTCAAATCCCAGAAAAACTGTATGCAGGTTTCAGAAAATAGATTTAGTTACCGTAAATCGATCTGGTGTCCGAAAAGCTATTCAATTTCCTAGAAACTTCTATAACCCATGATATGGCATGAACTTCGTCTACCATTCAAATTTCTCAAATTCTGCTTATGAGGGGCGATTCCCAAGTAGGACGCGCCATTTAAATCGAAATTATACCAATTTGTAAAACTCAACGAATTGGTATAATTCCGATTTAAAATGGCGCGTAACACTTAGGGATCTTTCGTCGTTAGAATTTTATTTTTCCATCAGACGTCAAACTCTGGCATGAGAAGAAATTATAAATCCAACAGAAACAGCTGTAAAAGTTAATGAATTGAAGATAAAATATAGAACCGCCATGAAAACATTTTGAAAATTTTCAACTTTCAATATTTATTTTATTTTATTTCGAACTTTCGGTGAATATCTTTCGCTATCGTCAGGAAACAATGTAACAAATAGAGAGAATTTTAACGCTTTTATAGAGAAGAAAGATAACAATACAACAAAAGAAAGAAAAAAAAAGAGATAAAAGAATATATGTAGAAGATTTTAATTATTGTAATTAAATTATATTCGAATATAATTTAATTATAATAATTAAAATCTTCTATATATATTCTTTTATCCTTTTTGCTTGGTGATGGTGAACGCAGTGGCGGGCCAGCATCCCAAATATAGGTGGGGCAATAAACTTTAATTCCTTGGCATAATAAAAAATCTATTTTCAGCTGTATGAAAATAGTCTATGATAGCTGCATTCATTCAAGCTGCAAATAAAACTAGTCTTTTAAATGTAATCTCTATATTTGTTTTTTCTGTTGAAGTCAAATGAATAAACAAAAATATATTAGTTAAAAAAGAACTTTATGTTAAAAAATTGTTTTCCTTATATGTTTTTTTACAATAAAATCTGTTACTATTTGATCTAAATTAATTTCAAAATTTCTTTCAATATTTAAAAGAGCAATGCCTGATAACCTTTCTTCTCCCATACTGTTTCTTAAATAAGTTTTTAATCTTTTTAAACATGCAAAACCACGTTCACATTGGCATGAATTAACCGGTATAGTCCAAAGAATCTTCAATAATTCATTCATGGACGATAATGCTATGTGAAAATTATTTTCCAAAAAGAGTTCAGTTACTTCTGACAAATTCATTTTCTTATCGTTCATCTGATTCTTGTTAAGTCGTTGTTCGGCTTTCAAATCATCATAATTAATAGAATAAAATTGTGTTTTATCTGAACGAATATTAATGATTCGCTATTGGGTGTCGCTGATGTACAGATACTTTTACTAATTGTGTATATTTTGATTCGCTTACAGAAGTCAATAAATAAACGAGTAAATATTGGATTTAAAATTTTTTTGGGTGGGGCAATTGCCACCAATTGCCTCGTGGCGGCCCGCCACTGGGTGAACGATATTCACCGAAAACTCGAAATAAAATAAAATATTGAAATTTGAAAAATTTCAAAATGTATTTCATAGCAGTTCTATACTTTATCTGTAATTCAGAAGAAATTATCTTAATAACGCAGGCTGAACATGATTAGTGTAGCAATATTTACCTTTAAAGAATATCCAAGTACCGTATTAATCGAAAAAAGAAATAGGCAAATATACTGACTGTGAATATAAGCAAACGCAAAATAACTGATGTGAATTGCGAGGAGCGCACGTTTTTATCTCTTCTTTATTGCTGTGATTACTGATGCATAGAGCTACTTTCTTTCACCTTATTGAAAAGAAAAAGCGAGCAGATAGGCCGACAAACGAAAGTATCAATAGCGAACGATTTTTTTCTCATCATGGCCGTGACGAAGGTTGACGGTAATTAATATATTAAGAGGAAAAAAAGTCGTGATATCGACTAGCTCTCTTACGTTAACGAAACACATGCTGGTATACAAATATGAAAGTCTGTTATCAACCCATTGTCGTCCTTCGTCTTATATACAACGATGGTGTGTTGTTATTACCTTCTGTATAAGGAAAGGATGAGCAATACCGTCGCACATTCTCACATAACAACGAGAAAAATACAGAATTAATCACATAAAAGAGTCGTTAATCTCAATATTGGACTATTACGACAGAATTCTAACCAAGGGAAAAACAGCTGATTTCATGATTCCATGATTCTGTTGATTCCAATGATTTCAAAATGATTCTTGCCAGCGGAAACAATCATTTTCGTCTCGTAATTTTTACTTTTTTTCTTTACACAATCAGTAGAAGAAAGGAGCGAGGAGCACGATAAGATGGGAAATCGGTCCATTCCAAAAATTTGATTTTTTCCCTCTCAATAACTCAGACTAAGTGTCCAAAGTTATTTGGTATATGAAAAAATCATTTTGATTGGAAGTCAAGAGTGGAAGGCTATATCAAAGATACTACTTATATTATTAGTGAACACAGGTCTTACCGCATTCTATTTCGGATAGATAAGATACTCCGCCATTTTTCTTTCTCTACTATTGGAAAGAGTGAATCAAGTTCTACAAAATAATATATAAGAAATAACTTTGAAACGTTGGCCAAGATGTTTTTTATGGCCCCAATATTCTATCCCATATGAAAATATGGATCTTTTTCAGAAAATCAATGATTTTTGTCAATGAAAAATGTTCTCTGGCAATCTGATTAATTGCTTCTGACGTAAATCGAAGATTTGTCATGTGACCATGACAACATCGTGATCCACCTTCGAGTATAAAAACATTTTTTTAAAATAAAATCAAGTAACAATCTTCGGAAGACACCGTCGTTGCTCCTCCAGCAATGTTTCCCCGACAGACACAACAAATCCTAAATATTAATAATTTAGTTACAACCGTATAGCCTATACACTTATTTCTTTTACGTATGACATGATCGAGTGCCATTTATGTGAATCGAAATAGTTTCTTCCACAACTACTGGATTCAAATTCATCGTGTTTGAATTTATTTGAATAACGACATTACGTTCGTTTACTTCCATAGAATCATTCTAAGCAAGAAACAACGAATCGTTAGTGTTTTTCTCAATTCAAGCATGATTTTTTTTACCGAACTAATGTCTTCATCGATTGCAACATCTTCCGATACTGCATTATCAATATGAGATAAAATTTTACCGGGCTCAGTGTTATACTTATCCAATTATAGTGAGCCGTACACCAGGCAATGAAAACTTTCGTCTCCGAAGACACCGATGTCATCGTCCGGATCGATACGAATAATCATAAACCGGATGACTTGAGTAACCGAACGGTAGAAGTTCGACTTAATAACAATCTGCTAGGGCAATAATAACGAGGCATTCTTTTATTCTAGAATATTTCGATCGATAGTTATCCTAAGTTATGCGAAGATCAGTAAAAAATGATGAAATAAATATGTCTCTTATTTAGACGAAAATAATTTTCTTTTCACACGTGTTCAGCCCAACTAGACTAATGTATTTAGACCCTCGAATCTATCATTTTTTTTCTTTCTATGAGTAGTATACTCCATGTTTTTTTTTCATATTTATTGATTATGTAACTTTCGAATTATGACCTGGACGTACTTTCAAATACTCGACCAGGCAACTTCCAATTCAGAGAAGAACAAGCTGAATCCCAACCATGCAAAAGAATGTGCATCTTGACCAGACAGTTTAAAACAACGTAATGATTCTATCGATCCCATTCTCGACACTATACTGTCACGCATAGGGGTCGACAGGCTCAGCTCATGCTCAAAAATGATATGCTGTTGAAAAAGCTCGCTGAGACGAACTGAACTATTCGAACAGTTTATTTGAACGACCTGACCTTTCCCAAACGGTTCGTTTCAAATGCGCTGAACTGTTCGAACAGCTCATTCGAACGAACCAAACTTTTTGTAGCGGTATCCATAGGTCCTCAAGACCTACCTTAGAGGGGTAGGGTGTTGGTGTGGGTGCGCATATGGATCTTCTCTTTAAAAGAACCCACACCCATACGCAATAGTGCTACTTGCAATTAACCAACCGTTGGTTTTTCTCCCATTCTACTGTATGAACCGATCTACAGCATTATCTTACGCATATTGATATCTATTCAAAATTCACATTAGGTGCATACATCTTGGCTAAGATTAAACTGCAACTTTTAATTCTAATAGATAAGACTTACATCATAGAGATAGTTTTATTATAGATGCTATCGGTTTTGGCCTATCTTGTCAGCAATAAATTTTAGATTTTCTCTTAATAGAAATCTACCAATCAACTACAAATCTCTATTGTTCCGCATAACAATCTGATTGTCAATAAAACATTTTTCACTACAGTGGATGTGTCGGTGAAACACATATAATACTCGTTTAAGATTGTCTCTCATGAAATGGATCAATTAATAGATGTTGTCATCGAATCGTTTTGATAACAAAATGCTTATCTTTGTTTTAACTATTGTCATGATTATTACATTTATAATCAAATCTTATCAATATTATCGTTGTCATTCTTATATGAGTTTTGAGTAATTCATTGAACTTTACTGTCAACGATTTGTTTCTTCAATCTACGAAGATGATTATGAGAAATTTCCATTACGAGTCATCGATACGTTTCATAAATGTGAAAATAATAATAGGTATCATATAAAATCCGACATTGCTTATGTGTTAATTCATAAATGTATACAAGAATTTGCTTGTCAAAATAATGAATATGTGAATAGATCAGGGCCTGTTTGTCCATTTGTACCAGTATCATTAAAACAAAACTCGATCTATTTCTTCATCTCAGGTGAACAATACAATAATAAAAAAAGATTAATCAAAATGATAAAACAATGTAAATATGATTTTCTGTATAAATATAAATTAGTTTACAAATGTTTAATCATATCAATTCGATCATCAGATGTTTCGCATAATTTAATTGATGAAATTCAAACAGAACTAAAATCAAATTGTATTATTCAATATGGTCTTAAGTTCGGTGAATTTCATCAATCAGCTGATTCAAATACAATTCAAAATGAAAATTCTTATCCATTTCGAACAAGAGTACCATTATTAGTTATTTGATATATGGTTGCCAATGATATTATTTTTCCAAATCAGAAAGATAAACATTCTGTTGAAATTCATATGAAGATGATCAACAAATATTTAAATTTAAATCATTCAGGTTTATTATATCCTTCGAAAACAAATCATTTACAAAGTGTTAATGGTACTCTTGAAGAACTAAATTCTTCAATTAAAGAATAAAATTATAGCATGTTTTCATTTTTTCGGCAATTTATAGTTTACTAATTCAGATAATAATCAAAAAGGAAGATAACAATTGATCTATCTGAATTCTATACATACAAACTAAGTCCTTTTTTAATGTTTGTTTCTTTACTGTATATAATAAATGAACTCTCATTTTGCATAGTACTTACTGTAAAATCATAGATGTAAATGGGATAATTTAAGCCCGAGAATTTATTCTAAAGTATGAAGGATGGAAGAACGAATTCACATGATATTGTCTCATCTTACACGACAAAGAACAAATACAGACTGAACGAAGATGTGGCTACGGGTGTAAGTGAGAATGTGGATGTCTCTTATTCATTCCCACCGTTAAGAACTTCTTTGAATATTGATATGATTGAGAACAAGTTCTGTTAGTACAATGGTAGTATATCTGCACGACACGCAGAAGACGCAGGTAGACAATAGTCAGATATAATATCATTTTATTAATAGATTACATAAATGAAAACGAATGTCTATATGTTGTAGACTATGAATAGTCAACTTCGATTTCTGCACGGAACATTTTTTTCCTCTTTCTTTTTGTTTCCTCAACGAATATTCATTGCTTCACAAGACATGCAGGGAGAAAAAACCAATCAATTAAATGACAACAATATTTTTCTATTCTTGAAAATTCTATTCTACTGATCAATATCTTAAATTAAAATTCGTTTTGTAATCTTTATATCAAGCTATATTCCTGTCTATTAATTTTGTTTATTCAATGGTTAGAATTCAACAGAGAATACAGTAAAATTAACAGCGCGGGTATGAGTGAGGGTGTGTATACGTTCTTCTCTACACATTCACACCTTCAAGATGCGAACTCCAATATTTTTTAGAGTGGGTGTGAATAGTGTGATGAGGATGGATGTGGGTAGGTACAGATGAATATATATATGAACAGAAGATTAAAACTCACACCTCATACTAAGTATATCTGCATGTCTTCTTTAAAAAGCATCTCATACTACATTGTGTATCTTATAGGTAAAAGAGAAAGAATAGAAAGAACGAAGGAAGTACTATCTTTTATTACGTTCTGTTCTGACTGAATTCAACTCAACAAACTTTTTAAAAGCCTTTCTGTCGCAATCAGTTGATAAGAAAACTTTGTTAGTATTTGTGAATTATAAAGAATAATATAACAAAAAAAAATATCATGGACAATATTGTTACGGTTACCCATAACGACGAATTATATCCACAAATAGTTGCTTTGCGTCAACTTATCCTGCGTAATTCGCAGAAAAAGGTAATTAGTGCTGCAAATCTAGCAAATGACAAACGTCTAATGTTTTTTGCTTACGTTATCGATGGCGAAGTACTTGGTATGGTTGGGCTTGAGAAAATGTCTTCCACAAAAGCACAGCTTCGCAATATGGCTGTCCACAACAAGATGCAAGGCAAGGGCATTGGACGAAAGTTAGTGGAGGCTTTCGAAGAATATGCGCGTAAACTGGGAATACAAGAAATTGATCTTGATGCTCGGTGCACGGTTCGTAATTTCTATGCAAAACTGGGCTACTGTGCATATGGGACGATTTATGAGAAAGATGGCTTGTTGTATATCAATATGAACAAATTTCTTTAATTTTTTCAATGGTTTATCATATCACAACACTTTATAGATAAGATTATTCGTGCAGGCAACGGAAGATGACAACTTTTATCTTGCATAGTTTCTTTATATAGTTTTGTTTTAAATTATTATACTCGTTTTTTAATTCATTGTGAGCGAGTGAGGGTGGCTTTCTTGAATGAAATAATGATTGACATTCACACCCTCAAAACGATTTTATTTGAACTTCTTTGTAAAAATGCTTGTTGCTGTGATATTCGGTTTGAATGTTGTCAGTATGATATAATTCCATGAGAATACATCCTATTCCGCTCCCGGAATCAGTTCCATCCGATTACATAATTCCGGCATCATCGAACCAACTCGGCTTATTCGATAACGATCGAGTTCCCTCAGTCTCCGAAATTGCCAGAATTCCGACCAATTCTGGAATTCCATTCGATTTTAGAATTGCAACCGATTCCGGAATTCCGGCTCATCCTCGCCCTCAGCTTATGCAATGACTTCAACAAGTACATCAACGTCAACGACCACAAAGACTACAACAACTACATCAACGTCAACGACTACAAAGACTACAACAACTACATCAACAACAACATCAGGTAAGTAATTATTAAGTTCATCTAGTGGAAATAATCAACTCAATTTTTCGTTTAAAAAGTCAATTTTCGTTTAATCCATGAAGTCCATCGTAATCTAACAGAATGAATGTACAAAATCGGGTCTTTGATAGACTATAGCCTTTTTTAGTTTGGTGTGCAGTTTCTAGTAGTGTTTTAGTGACATTTTATATAATATAAGTAGAAGATGATATTGAAATTTAAAAAAGAATTTTCGATAATTAAAATGTACGTTAATTTAATTGTGTCTTTCAAAATTCTAAAAGAATTTTATTTAAACTGCTATATTTATCGAAAGATTTTAAGAAAGGTATTGACATAGGTGACTTATTGAAACTATCATTTAATCCACGTTTCATGGATATTTTGCGAAAAAACCTTACGTTCAACTCAGTACTGTACATTAGTGTTATTAAAATAGCAATCACTTATTTAAAAAAAATATCTTGTATTTTGCATGCGTATTGCTGCATATAACATGTTTAAGTCATTTGAAGACCTTCTTAATTTCTTTATTCAGTAAAGTTTTAAGATATCTCAAACTGAACTTTTTGAATATCTGTTACATCCTGAGTCAGCATAATGTGATTAGAACTTCTGAAACGCTACGACACGCAACTTATCTGTGTAAACTGGTGTGAGAATACCATTTTAGATGCTCAAATCTTGTTTAGTCTTTTCTATTAGTTAAGTTATCAAATCTTTCGGAGCCTTCAATTTTTGTTTTGGGATATTCATCATTCTTTGTTGGTATTGGCATGGTTTTTGTTTCACTGAATTATGTAATAGACTTTTAATGAGAATTAAAGGCTTATTTTTCCCACGATAAGATTCTGATACTATTGATGTATCCTGATTTTTACCTATAGCACTGTAAGGGACTTCCAATATTCAACAAAAATTAATTTAAGTACCGCTAAAGCTTCGAGAGTGTAATATCGTATATAGATCTTCAGTCAAACCACGATAAAATGTTGCTAATCTTTTATTCTACAAATATAATTCTAGAATAATAATCTTTATTGAAAATCTTTGTATGCCAAGTAATGATTTATTGAACACGTTTTCTTTTATTTAGTTTACACGTGTAATGTCAACTCGACATCGAAGACGTATACAGTTGGCTTCAATCCATATGTGCTTAATGTTGGTGATTTCAATAATGACAATCAACTTGAGATTGTCGTTGCAAATTCTGCCGTCAGCAATGTGGGCATATTTTTCGGAAATGGCTTTGGAAATTTTACAGCACAAACTACTTTTCCAACTGGTATTGGTCCGTATGCGGTCGCTGTTGGTGATTTTAATAAAGACAACCGATTAGATGTTGTTGCCAATTCAGGTAGCGCTACTGTTGGTATTTAACTGGGTAATGGTAATGGAGGTTCGGCAACACAAATTGCGTTTACAAGTGGTTTGTATCCGACCTCAGTCGCCGTTGGTGATTTCAATAATGACAAACAAGTAGATATCACGGATGCGAATAGTAGCGGCGCAAGTGTTAGTGTTTTCCTAACGACCTGCTAATAACTGGAACGATATAAACAAAGTTCTTTTGTGGAAAATTAATACGCACGATCAACTTTTTCGTTTAATAATGAACCATGACTGTGAATAAACAATAGCCTTCTTTATTTAATATATACAAAATTTTCATATTTTTTACAAGCGCTTACGTTTCTAAGAAAATTACATTTTTGTCGTGATGTTTTTGTATTAAAAATATTCATCAAAATCAACTTTATTCTTCCAAGATTATTGGTCAAGAACATGAAATATAACTTTAATTTGTTACTTATAGTAATAGGAAGAAACTGATCTATGTGAATCACTTGAATACAATAGCATGAGTCTAATGAATGATTGTGACTGAATCAAGACTTAGTAATGACGTTTTCATTCGTTAAGCAGCAATCTGTATAAATGAAATACGTTATCAGGGTGGGGGAGGGGTGGGTGTGCATGTGGATCTGCATAGAGGTTGGTTGGAGTGGAAGTTTTCTCTTCACCAATATATACACTGACACGGACTCACCCAACAACACCCATACGACACACTCACACCCACACCCCACACCCACACGCTCGACAATAACTTTTGTTTTCTTTATGGGCAAAACAAAACATTAATTATTTATGAAAATTAATAAAAAAGAAAAGCAAAAAGATATTTGCGGATATTTCAAACGATTTAATTTTCGAAATATTGTCGATGAACTCGAAAGTTTTATTAATTATTATGTTTTTCTTAATGATTAATGTCGAAATGAAAATAGCATAAAATTAACCAATAAAACACTGACTTCAACTAAATAATAAATACAAAAAAAAGAGGTGTTTTTTTAATAAATTTTATTTGGTATTAGTTTGCTTACTTTTAAAAGATAATCGATCTTTTGATGATGACTTTAGTTATAAAAAAGAATATTAATTATATGATATAAGCAAAATCAATCAACTTACACTCAATGTTGAACTAATTATTGTAGAATTAATTCGATTCATTGTTGTACTGATGCTTGTCATTATATTTATTGTACTATTCATTGACAAAACTGTAGTGCTTGTAGTGATACGAGTTGTTAAAAGAGTCGAATTGATTGTATTAATAACACTTGATGTGCTTTTATTCACATTAGCCAGATTAGTTGTAGTAAGCATGACACTACTATTGTTTCCAACAGTCGAACTTGTTGTGCTTGTTACTGTTGTACTAGTCACCGGCATTGTTAAACTCGTTAACTACAGAATATATAATATTTTACAATACGTACATCGATTATTTACTTTGTCCGTTATTGTGGTTGTTGTTACTGTTATCGCTGTTATTGTTGTTGTTGGTGGTGGTGGTGTCGTTGTTATTGTACTGATGGGTTCTAAGAAAAAAACAAAATAAATAAAATAAGAGTATAATAAACGTATATGTAAATTATTGATACCACAATAAAGATCAATAAGAGTTATTTCATCAATAGCAATATAAAATGACTCTGCATTTGAAGAACCACGTTCGAATATAAAAAACATCTAAAGTAATTATCTAATAAGTTATTTAAAGAAAAGTAAAATTTACATTGGAAATTGAATTAAATATTTGAAAATTTTGTCTGATTTCATGCCATTTGTTAGCTACATATGATGAAACTGTGAGAATAGTTTGGTTTTGACGTGTTTGGGAATCTTCTAAGATAATTCGAATAGTTCCATTTGAATTTCCATCAGAAAAATAATAAAATAATCGTATACAATGATGACCAATTGATAAAATTGGAAGTGATTCTAATTCATAAGAACGAGATCCTATTTGGTTTTCTTCAAATTTTTCATATCCATATTCGCCTAGATTAATATAATCAAATTATAAATATGAAAGATTTTTATTTTTGAAAATACCTTCACTACAATTTATTTTAGGACCATTTTCATGTTCAATAGGACATGTTGCTGGAAGATCAGGATCAGTTTTTAAACAGAAAAACATATCAAATGAATTAATTTTATAAGGAAAAAAGCATTTTCCTTGATCATTCGATGTAACTATAAAATAATATGAAGTTGAATCTGATAAATAATATTTTATTTCTTACGGATAGAAGTAACATCGGAAGCAGGTTGTCTTATTTGTTGACTTGTTTCATTTAATAAAACAAATGAAACTGATGGAAGACCTTTCAAACATATTTGTCCATAATCAAAATCACACGTCCATGCATTACTCAAAGAAAACATTACAAATATAACAATAAGAGAAATCATTTTTTTTTGTCTTCAACTGAAGTAATTCATTCGATCAATGAATCTCTATTTAAATAGAACTTGAAATCAAACCATTTTTTCATGTATTTTTTATTTTTGATAATACAATAAATAAATGTTGATTTAATATATAATAGTACTTAATACTAATATTAATCTATGATATCGTCTTCGTATATTATCTTTTAAGCAAATACACGCTGCAAGATTGTTCTTTTTTCGTAAAGAATATAAAATACTTAAAGATATCTGTCGTTGAATGAAAAGCAGATTAAGAATATAAAAAATATATATTTATTATGTTGACCAATGTAATCAATTAAGAATTCTCTCAGAAAAAGTCAATGTTAGTCAAATAGATCGATTTTGTTATGATAACTTGTTTATTTGAAAAAACTATCTACTCTCCAATGCACTATGGTTTATTGATCTTATGATGAGATTTAAGTATATTACATAGGTTTTTCTGAACCCTTCTACCAAGGAAAAGAAAGCTTCTTGTACAAAACTTTCACCTTACGCTTTCGTGCCTCCCAGATTTCTTCGTCATTTTAAACAATAGAAAGCTCAGTTTAGGTATGCGTATGGATGTGGGTAAGTGTGGATGTGCACGTGCGGGTATGGAGCCCTTTTCTGCTCCACACTCACATCCACTCAATTTGATTGTCATATTCTTCTGTTCTATTATAATATGCTAATGAAAAACATTCCACATTGATCAGATCATCCAAGAAAAAGAGAAATCATCAAAACTAATTACATCGATACATTATTTTAGGGATGCAACAAATCTCGAGATAGATTTGGATTTGTATGCTATGTTTGAATTCTGATTTGGATTCGGTTTCTGATATTTGGATTTGGTTTCGATTTGTTATCTAGTGTTTGGATTTGGTTTAGATTAATTTTGGATTTTGTTTTTAAATATCCAAACAGTTTGGATTTGGCAATATAATTTTTCAGTAAACTCCCGTCATAATAGAAGACCTTCATTAAGGGTGTGGATGTGGGTGTGGGATGAGTGCGGCTGTGATTCTGGGTACGACTTACGACATTAAGTATACCCACACCCTCAAAAACGAAAAGATTTTTCAAAGCATCATCAACTTCTCCAAGTGCGTTCTTTTTACCAAGCGATGAAGTGGTGAGAACAGCCGACAAAACGGTAGAAATAGCGGCCGACTTTTATGAGAAACAGTTTGAAGAACCTCATCCTTATGTCGATGCCCCTTTTGCCAACTCCGAAATTTACGAAGAGGAAATACTGGAAGCGATACTCGAAGAAGTTTTAGATATTACACGAAATCTTAAAAAGAATAAATCATGCGATGCCCATAGCATTTCGAGCTATTTTTTAAATTTTCTTCCGGATTCCTATGGGTCTCTCCTGTTGAAAACTTTTAATCATTCATCTTCCACCGCGATTCTTCCAACTTTATAGCGTGAGGCAAGAATGATTGTACTCGCGAAAAAAGATTCCATTTCACTATTAGATGTTTTCTTAAAAATCAACGAGAGACTATTTACAAATCGATTTCGAAAACTAATAGATAGACGCGGCTTATTACCCGGATCACAAACAGAATTTCGTTCGGGGTTTCATCTGCAAACACGAGCTCTACTTTTTATCTGGCAAATATCATCTCTAATGTCGAACTCGTTGCCTGTAGTCACTGTATTCATTGATTTCAAGAGTGCTTTCGATCGGTTGTGAATTGATGAATGTATAGCGAAACTGCGTATAATGGGAATCCCACATTCATATTTAAAATGGATCAGGTCGTGGTTAGGAAATAGACGCGGCTTTATCTAAATAAAAGGAGTCAGATCAAAGTGGATAAGTATAAGGAAAGAAGGGCCTCAAGGATCTTGTTTTACACCAACGCTTTTCATAACATCTCACTCCGATATGGGTGATTTTCTGGAAGTATGCTTACCATTTTTTTTCGCAGACGACTTGGCTGCTGCGGTAGCGGGAAGAATAGGAATTCGTTATACTGATCAGTGTATCGATTGAGGAAAAAGACTAAAGAAATTTTTTGATAATTTAGAATTATATTCTCAGCTAAATGTCCAACCAATAAATTACACTAAAACTGAAAATATGTGGTCTGCAAGAGAAATTATCAATCCTTCACCAAAAGCATGTTGCGGTGGAAATGACATCAATTGGGTTAAGGATTATAAATATCTCGAATATTATGTATCAGAAAAATTGGTCTGGGAGCAAATGATTAAAAAAACCCAACAGAAAATACGACAGAGAATAAACATGATCAGAGCATATCGCTTTAACGGTAGTACTTCTTATAAGCTTCGAAGAACTCTATGGTCTTGTTTTGTTCTACCACTCCTCAATTGGTTATTTGCGATTTTTCCACTCTTTACCGATAAACAACGTAGCGATCTTTCACATTTTTACTACACGTTTTTGAAAAGAATCTCATTTCATCTAGAACGGCATCATCCCTCCTACGCGTTCGTATCTAATGAAAGATCATTAGAGGATCGTTGCTCTGCCCATTGGGACAGATATTTAAGAGCATTGTCACAATCTATGGACGGGAACCTATGATACGAGTAAGCTATTTTAAACCTTTATAGAACTATGTGAAGAAAAAGAAGTAGGAGTATTAGAGGGTTGCGCGTGTCCAAGCATTTTGTTGAAAACATCTCCGTGCTGGAAAAGTGTGTTTCTTGGTGTGGAGACAATGCGATTACGGACTCTCTACTCTCCTTTAAAAAAGAAGAAATTTTTCTGCTCTCTCATTTTCCTGAAACCTTCTAATTTTCGGCTGGGTTGATTTATGAGTCCAAAATGTTTGTACGCATATATTGCGTAAGGAAGGAAAATAATTGTATACGGACAAAATAAATATTAAAAAGTGCCGTAAGAAATCGTAGTCTCTTGTTCATTTTTTCTTTCTTCTCTAAGTTATAATAATACTTCTATTTTTTTTGTTACTATGTCAATAATACCTTTTTTCTGTATTTTTTCAAGAATTTATGTACTGATAGAACGAAAAAGGTCACCAGTTTGTTTCTGCAAATAAATAATAAAAAATCTTTCTGTTTTTCATCAAAGATTTAAAATCACAATGTGGCAAAATATTATATAGAAGACTTGATTCTATAAACTAATCAAAAAAATTAAAACCACACAAATATAAGATGCTAGAGTGTCATTTTATACAGTGAATGATCCTTGTAATTTCAAATCATCCCAATTTGCTGACGTACCCACATAAACCTTGTAATTACCCTTCGCCACTGTAAATTGTTGCATAATTACATTCCAATACGAAATATCCTTCACCCTCATCGTTAATGTTACGGTCATAGTCTCACCTGGCTCCAGATAAACTCTTGAGAATCCTCTTAATACTTTTGGTGGTTCAGCTGCTTCATCAGGAAAGCCCAAATACAGTTGAACTACTTCTGAACCACGAACGTTGCCTGTATTTGTAATATAGAGAGAGACTATGTAGGCAGGTGTATAGAGATCAGAAATATTGCTTGAAGTTTGATCGATAACTTTGGCAATTTTCAAATCAGTAAGAGAGAAGGTAGTGTAAGAGAGACCATAGCCAAAATGGAATCTCGGCATTATCATTGCGGCATCAAAGTGACGATAGTCAAGAAAGACACCTTCAGTATAGTTCGAATCAGGCGTTTGCGTAATATTTGTCCCATAGTCCGAATCCTTCTTTGCTATAGTGAAGACGAGTTTTCCTCCTGGATTGTAGTCGCCGAAGAGAATATCAACCAGGGCATTCCCGTACTCGGATCCTGGTATTCCTATCCAGATGACTGCGCTTACGTTGTCCCATTCAATCCATGCCTCCAAATTAAGTTGAGATACACTGTTGACTAAGACAATAGTCGAGGCACATTTCGCCGCTACAGTCTGAACAAGCTTGTCTCCTTGATTCCAAGCATTAAGATTCTGCCGATCTGACCCTTCACTCGACCACGCACTGATGAAGACGAGACAAAGTGGCGCAGAAGCAAGTGAACTGACAGTATCAAAATCGGTCTGTCTGGTTACAAATTGGATTTGAAAGTTCGAATCACGGGCTTTGGCAAGAAGAGCGCTGAGTGGATCGACACCATAAGTTGGCTTAACGAAACCTAGTATAACGCAGGACTATTATTTAATAAGACTTCAGCAACCTACGAGGGAGCTGGAAATTCTCTGAAACTATTAGTAAGCAAAAATCATAAGAAACCTTCCTTCCTCAAAAATTGATTTGGCCGTACAAAACACCTATCTTTCGTACTAAATATAGTCTCCTCCTGAAAAATTGGTTTTTTGATCTGAACAGAGAGAAAAATGCAGATCCTATATCATGTCTTTCTTACCTGATCCACCACCTTGATATATAGCACCATCATAACCTTGTCCGGTCGGTCCTCCACCCGGATTCAATCCACCATCATACTGTGTCGCTGCTGCTCCAAAAACCGTCAACAATCTGTCCATACTGGCATTCAACGGCAATGTATTTCTTAGGTTTTTTAATAGAATCATGCCTGCTCTGGCTAATTCTCGGTTCACCTTGTAATGATCGTGTGTCACATCGCGATTCCAATCGAGTTTCGGAAAACTTTGATCTTGTTCTAGTAGAAAGTACGGTGCAAAGATGCGTGTAACCATATCATTCACTCTCGCTTCGGAGAGCGATCCGTCATGTACTTTAGCGAGAAGAGCATAACCCATAAAACCAGATCCGCCTGGCATTTCTATGTCCAATCCACCTAGCGCCGATTCAACACCTGCATGTGTGGCACCCCAATCAGACATTACATTTCCTCTATAAGCGAGTTCATTTTTTAACAATCCATTCAGGGTCTTGTTGTTCTGACAAGCGTGTGTTTGATTCACTCGATTGTATGAACACATTACTGATCCAGCACCGGCATATACAGCATCGGCAAATGGCCATAAGTAGATTTCATGAACGGTTTTATCATCGATATTTGCTGAATAACTATCTGATAACCGATTTGTTTCCTGTTCATTTCCGATGTAGTGTTTTGGAGTGGCCACTACACCTTGCTCTTGCAAGCCGAGCACGTATTGATAAGCATTCATTCCCGATAGATATGGATCCGATCCGAATCCTTCCCAATTTCTTCCATGTAAAGCATTTCGATCGATATTAATCATTGGTCCCAAAGCAATGTTTACGCCTTTCTCACGAAATTCCTTTCCTATGATCGACGCCCTCTTGAACATTAAGTCTTTATCCCACATAGCTGCTGTGTGAATTCCACCGGGGAAAGAAGTGACAAATCCGACGCCGTCTCCAACACCTGATGGTGCATCTTGAAGACACATTCCATTGAAACCGAGGCGAGAAACAGGAGGAACATATCCGGCACAGGGACTAGGTACGCCCGCCGTTGAATTGCACTTTTCTTCCAATGTCATTTGAGCGACGAACGCTTTGGCTTTGGCGATAGCTGCGTCCCATCCGATATTCTTGGAAGAAACATTAGGAGCAGCAAAAATCAGACAGACTACGGCCAAGAATAATTGTTTCAGCATTTGATAACCAAAGAGAGAAGATACCAAGGTGGTCTTCTTCTACTGTTTATCACGTATAAAGAAAGTATGAGTAAAACCAAATGGAAAGGGAGAGCAAGATATAGACACAAGATAATGTGCATAGCTATTTCAGGATATCTTCGTATGGCCGTGCATATTCACTGATAAGAAAACAAAATAATGGATGGTTACAAGCCTGTTGTGCAACCTAAACGCTTTTATATTACCTTTCGAGTTTTTCTTTTCGGAACATTTAATTTACGATTTCGAAATCGTTTAACAGTTTAAATACGTGTTTACATATCAGAGTTGTTGAATTAAGTGATCTATTGAAAACAAAGTGACAATTCCATACCTCAAAATTCCTTGACAGATTGCCATAACTACAGTACTTAGCTGATTCAATTGTATTTTTCGATGCTATGTTGTTGTCATATGGATTAAACTTTATTTTAATCTGTTTTAAACTATATCTTAATTCTCTTACTTACCGAAGAGACGATTGAATTAAAGGACACTTTTCAGGGTGTGGGTGTGGATGTGGATGTGGGGTGTGTGAGTGTGTGTGTGCGTGTAGGTGTTGGTGTGAGTGTGTGGATGTGGGTGAATAAAGAAGATAAGGATACACCCACATTCACACCCACACTCGTATATCACCCTCACCCACACTCGTATATCACCCTCACCCACACTCGTATATCACCCTCACCCACACCCACACCCCACACCCCACACCCACACCCCACACCCCACACCCCACACCCCACACCCACACCCCACACCCCACACCCACACCCTGCAACATTCACTACAATCAGGAATCATTTGATCCGATAATGAACTTGTATTTTTTGATGAAATCCTCTATAGCATTAATAATCAAGCATCATTAAAAAACTATAAAAGATCTTTCTGAAATGGTTAATGTCAGAGTGTATCATTTTTTAAAGTCTTCTAAGAACTTTAAAGTTTTGGAAATATTCTTTATTGTGTTGGTCGATTCTTCTCATGAGCACACATCGAAGTGGGGAGGAGGATTTAGGAAATATTTTCGTTCTAATAATCATGGAAATATTGGTTTTTATTCAACCTATCATGGGGTCCATTTTTTCATCATTTACTTAGGCCTTTGAAACTTTCAAAAGAAAGTAGTTTGCTCATTCATATGAGATGCCAGTAATGTATGATCGCTCATAGCCTATCAAAACATCAGGCATGGTCTGCCATGGGGCAGAACCCCGTCTGTAGCAGTCTGTGTCGGGGGAGGGTCCAAATTTTCTACCCTGTACACCTCCATATTCCTCTCCAATCATGTTTCACGAAAGAAAATCATTCTTATTCCTTATAGAGTCGGAAATACTGAACTTG